AAAAAATGTAAGAAAATGTTTGAAAGTTAAAGCATATATTTTTTTTTATTTGGTTTTTCACTGAGCTGCCTTAATCTCTAGCAAACCTGTTAGATTTTCTATGCATCCATAAAGTCCCAAATCTGGCTTATTGGGCTCTGGACGAATTCGAAGCTGGATATTTTCTGGTAAGAGTAGAGATCAAATGGGCGCAAAGTGGACACGAACTACAACTCGGACTAGTTGGTAATTGCACGGGTTGGATCTTCCTAGAAAAATTTGGAGACATTTTCCTCTTGGGCTTGACTCTGAACTTATCTGAATTTGGACTTGGATTTGGACTCTGATTTGGACTCTGATTTGGACTCTGATTTGGACTCTAATTTGGACTCTAATTTGGACCCTCCAATAAATTAGGAAGTGAAAATTCCAATGCGAATATCAGCAGCAATTTAATGCCAATCGAAAGCAAACTGGATAATCAAAAATGGATCTATAAAGATAAAAAAAAAACCATAAGAAGATGTTAAATTCTTACCACTAGGCACGTGCAACTTACCCGAAATAATCATCCCAAATAACTCATAAAATCGCTCAAGAACCATAAATCTCGAAACTGGATCTACTGAGCTCACAAAATATTTTGTGGTCTCCGCCAACTTCTACAAATCTTGATAAAAATCAAAAGGGCGATACGGACGGATTTTAGAGTTTTCAAAGCTCTTGACAAAGGTTCCGTGACCACTGGTACCAAAACGAAACCTCCCTGCTACAACCGTGAACCAAGTTCAAGGCGGCGGGAGATCCCCCCAAAAATATTCGCTGAACGGTGACAAGGCCAGCCGTAATTTAAAATAGACCAAATACCAAGGTTGGATTTAACTTTGATGAAAAAATAGAAAAATTTGAAAATGGGTGAGCAAAGAGAAACTCCACAATAGCGGAATCTGAATTGGTTTTGGGATAGATACAGGTAAGTTTTTATATCACAAAAGTAATCGGTGATTTGTCTCATTTTTCTTTTATTTATTTTTTTTCTCTTTCTAGGTTCTTGAAGACACCCATAAGAAAACACAAGTTGATGCCAGAGATTTCCCAACCAGAATTTACAGTTACCAAGATAAACATATTGTTTATTCATTAATTTATTTAATTATAATTAATAAACATTCTTAAAACTAAAATTGATTGTTTTACTATTTGTTCCAAAATTGTAGCATTTTATATGAATTTAAATTAGAGGAAAATGAAAATGCTACAAGTTACCAAACATTGACACACATGTCAAAAGATGACATTTCTCAAACCTACACTCCATACCAAACATCTTCGCCATCGAAAAAAAAACCAGCAAATGCCAGCGCGAAACTGATCTCGTAGACACCCGGTATATCCCGAAGTTTTTTTCCATTCTGACACACCAAGATGTAAACGTAAGGCCAGCAGTCCCCTAATAATTAAAAAAAAAAATCTGTAATTCAGTTAATAATTAATCAATTCTATTTTTTCTTCGACTATTTGGGAGCACCTAAAAAGCACCTAATTCTGATACAAAAGAAAATTTTGGAAAAATATTTTTTACTATAGGGGACTACTAGCTTTCATAAACCTAGCAATCCCTTAGTTTTTTTTGATTTTCTCAAAAACTAGAGGAGCACCTAATTTTTAAATAGAGGCCCTAATTAGCGCCTAAAAAGCACCTAATTATTATAAAGATCCCGAAGTTTTTTTGTTATTTTGACACACCAACAAGTAAACGTAAAGCCAGCAGTCCCCTAATAATTAAAAAAAAAAATCTGTAATTCAGTTAATAATTAATCAATTCTATTTTTTCTTCAACTATTTAGGGGCACCTAAAAAGCACCCAACTCTGATACAGAGAAAAAATTTGAAAAAATATTTTTTACCATAGGGGACTGCTAGCTTTTATAAACTTTGGTGGTAGGGTTGATGTTATTGAAACACCGATGATAACAGATCACTGTATAGTCAAAATTGGTCTACATATGCACCAGAGTAGTGATATAACGAGTGACAGGCAAATTATTTCCTGTGGTAAAATAGACTATGACGAAATGAATCGGAAACTTTCTTTAATAGAGTGGCGGTATTTGGTTGCAGGTGTGGATGACAAATACGACGAATTTTTTTCGACCATATTAAATGTTCTAAATCAAGTTGCACCCAGAAAAAATATAGTAATCAAAGCTAGATTTAAAGAGTGGTGGAATGACAGGGTAAGTGAGGCGATAAATCAAAGGGACCAAGCCTATAAATATTACAAACAAAATAGATCCGACAATAATAAAACAATTTACAAGCAACATCGAAATAGAGCTGTACAAGTTACTCGCGAGGAGAAGAAGAAATATTTTGAAAATAAGACAGACGGTTGCAAAAATAATACAAAAAGAATGTGGGAAACATTGAAACCTTTGTTATCAGAGAAAAAAGACAACAAATTAAAAGAACTAGAAATAAATAATGAAATTATATCTGAGCCACAACTACTATGTAATAGTCTTAATAAGTTTTATGTCAGTAGTATCGACGAAATAATATCACAGATTGATACAACCAGCACAACAACAGAATGCTCGACAGAATGTTTACAAAAAATAGTAACACCTTCAAATCTACTAACACATTTTGTCATGATATCTTCTGTAAAATTGGAAAAAGTTGTTTTTGAATTACCCAATAAAAGTAGCCCTGATGAATTTTCAGCAGAATTTATGAAAAACATATATAAAAGTATCGAAAACCCTCTCTTAAATTTAGTTAACTATTCACTAGAAACTGGTACTGTACCGTCAGCATTAAAAATTTCCACAGTTATACCTATACCAAAAGTCAATGACGTTTCAACAGCAAGTGATTTAAGACCAATCAACATGCTAGCAACGGTCGAAAAAATTATCGAAAAGATTGTTTATGAGCAATTGGTTGACTATATCTCAAAAAATAATATTTTGTACATAAACCAGTCGGGTTTTAGAAAGGCACATAGTTGCAAAACTGTTCAGAATGTTTTGCATGAATGGAAGAATGATCAAGATGAAAATCTAATGATTGGAGCAGTGTTTTTAGACTTTCAGCGTGCCTTTGAGACAATTGATAGGGATAAGTTGGTGAACAAGTTAGAAAAGTACGGTGTTAGCGGCCTAGCTTTGGAATGGCTCTGTAACTACTTACATAATAGAAAGCAAGTTACTCGTGTTAATAAAACAACCTCCTTGGAGATTTTAAATAATAATGGTGTTCCACAAGGGAGTACCCTAGGACCACTACTATTCCTGTTATATATTAACGATATTGCTTCTACAGTTAAAAGCTGCAAAATCCATCTGTTTGCTGATGACACCTTAATGTATTTCTGTTCAGATAATTTAAAAAACCTAATTGACACCATCAACGCAGAACTGCAAAATATACTACTGTGGTGCAATGGAAATCTACTTAGATTAAATGCAGCAAAAACTAAATGTATGCTTGTTGGTAATAACCAACAGTATAATATGTTTAAGTTACAGTATAAAATAGTGATCGCCAATACTGAAATAGAAATTGTTGATAAAATAAAGTATCTTGGAGTTATAATAGACAGGAAGTTAACATTTAAGGAACATGTGTCATACATAGGCGATAAAATCTCCAGAAACACCAACTTTTTTGCTAGAATTGCTCCATCTTTAACCAAGTGGTCTCGGATAGTGGTATATAATGTACTGATTTTGCCTCATCTTACATTTGCGTCTACCATCCTGTTTACGGCAAATAAAAAGGAAAAAGACAGATTGCAGAAATTACAAAACAAGGCCATGCGAATAATTTTGCGTGTACCTAGGGACACATCAATTAGACGCATGCTTCACTCATTAAATTGGCTGTCAGTGGAACAGTATTTGGAATACCAAACTATGATTCTCATACATAAAATGAAAAATTCTTTAGCTCCATCGTATTTGTCCTCCAAACTTGTATACAATAACAACGTCCACAATTATAATACACGGTCACAGAATAATTTGCATGTGACCAAAAAAAATAAAAAGGCTACAGAAAGGGCACTATTTCATAATGGTTTAATATTATATAATAAATTGCCTGATTTAATAAAAAGATGCGGTACTGTAATTGCCTTTAAAAATAACCTTAGGAAAAGACTATTTGACGAGTCTCACTAGGTAGACAATAATTATCATGTAATGATCGAATCTATGTATGTGAGTTGTTTTTTTTTATATTTATTTTTGTTTGTTTTTTATACAAGATGTGTTAATTTTAATTTTACAATTCACAATTATTGTGTAGTACCTAAGTAAGAATTGCAATTTTTATAGTGTATGTATATTTTGCATGTCTGTAAATTTTGTGAATTAGCGGTTTTTTGCTAAATAGAGATCTATTATTATTATTAACCTAGTAGTCCCTTAGTTTTTTTTTGATTTTCTCAAAAACTAAAGGAGCACCTAATTTTTAATTAGAAGCCCCCAATTAGCACCTAAAAAGCACCTAATTATTATATAGTTTTCGAAGTTTTTTTCCACCTTGGGATTGCTAGGTTTATAGACCTCTCCTGGTCATACTTTAGGTCTGTTCTCACAGAAATCACAAAACTGGTTGTTGGCCATTTGCCAATCAAAAACGCTCTGGTTTGTGATTTCTGTGAGAACAAATCTAATCTTCATCTCATTCTTTTTCTAAACTCTCCGTAGTCTTGGGTTTAGTTATTGGGAAACTGAGTATTGTTTGAAATTTATGATATGCAATTGCTGGGTTAGAATGATATGATATTCCCAGTGATTACCACATGAATCTCAGCAATTGCCAATGGATTCCTATGTTATTCTCATCCTAGGAGATTCCTAGCGATTCCTAGGATATTCCTAGAGGCTCCCAAGTGATTTCTAAGTATTCCTGATTAATTACTATGTGATTTCCAAAAAAATTTACACTGATTTCCACTAGAGGTTTACCCCCTCAACTGATTACAATACAGGAAAATAGACTTGATTTACCAACTTTTTTTCTTCCCTTTCCAACTTGAGACGATCCCTTTCAAGGTCTCTGCCTACTTTTCTTAGTGCTCTGTCTGTTTCTTTTTGTTCTTCTGTAATATTTTAATTGTGGATTATAAATTTATCGAATTCTATTCTCACATACCTTTTGGGTCTGGCGTAGACCAGAAATTCAAGAAAGACATACTAGTAAAAAGGCACTTTTCGGATATCAACTTACTACGAATTTATTTAAATTATTCACCTAAAATTAATAATAAATCTGAGTCATAAGTAATTTGTTTATTTTGCAAAATATTTTAAAGGTTATGTATAAGCTGTGTCACTGCTGTGATGCCATCTGACACTTGAACCGAACTTGTTCGAGTTGTATATCCATCTCTTGTTTGCTCATAAGAAAGAAAAGGATAAAAAATAAACAAGCTCGTCACAACCGCTCTGTTTCAAACTTTTAAATGGCCGATGCTGTAGTAAAAGTAATCTTTATAATTATAACTTTTTTACTACCGTGCGTAAAGTACTCACTTTACGCACTCTTCAGAAGACGTAATAATAGTGCGCAATAATGCACTTTATACACTAGGGCGTACAGTTTTTATATATTTTCTAATATTTATGACTAGGCATAGGGTGTCCAGGGAATAACTTGGGAGTACATGGGGATTTTGAAAACCATTGAATATACAGGGTAGACCAAATGGGGAAAAAGTATTGCAATCAAAGTGCCTACAAATAATCTGTCAAGTGCGTCTTATAAAATCCTTTATGTCTTGTTCATTATAAAAGATACAATCAAGAAATTTCCAGGGTGTAGACGTAGGACCGGATGTAATTGTCATGAACTATAGGTACAAATACAAAGGATTTTATAAAACGCACTTTTTTCTTTTTTACCCGCCTGTGTAATTCGTCTCTATTTCAAGTTCAAAGAAGTTGATATCAGGTTATTTTTATAGGCACTTGATTTCGCAACTTTCTCTCCATTTTGGTCCACCCTGTATCTTCAATGGTTTCCAAAATCCTCATGTGCTTCAAGTTATTCCAAACACCTTTTGTATTGTCAGTAGAGAAAATTTTGTATGAAACATGTGTGTATACTCAGACAGCATTAGAGACATCTCAAAGACGTCCCTAAGATGTCCACAAACGACATTCAAAATGCTTCTGGAAAGTTTTTTGGAACGTTTTAAATAACTTATTGAAGTTCTAAAGTGTTCTAACGTGCCTCGAAGAGTTCTGGAGCATGTTCAAAGTTTTTCAGTAATTTCTAAATTGTTCTGTGTTTTGGAGCATTCTAGAATGGTTCTGAAGTTTCCAAATTGTTCTGAAGCTCCACAGAATACTTTTAGAAATTCTGAATTGAATTTTAAGTGTTTCGAACTTTCCATAAATTAAAGTTCTAGAGTGTTCTGTAGCATTTTGAATGTTTTAGAAGAGTAACTTCTAAATTGAATAAGAAAAGAATTCTGTGGGAAATTTTGGTAGACATCTTAAAAGCGTCATCACCTGTAAATATAGGGACAATTTAACTTTCTGACTACTTTAAAAATAAATACCGAATTAAGAGAAATATGGGTCTGTTAGATATACTTTGAAGAATATGAAATAATGATTTTTTTCTTTGATAGTTTGGCCATTGGTAGATACAATTTTTATTTTTTTTTTCAAAAATTCCATTAACAGAATGAAATTGAACTTGAAATTAAAATCCTCTTCATCTCGACCTTTGACACACAGATCCAATAAATGAATACATATTTTATTCTTATCAATTTAATTATCTTTTTTTCTAACAGAAATTCCATAACTTCTGAATATAATCAAAATCAAGTTTTGACAATTTAAAGTAGCTGCACACTTAAAATAATCATAATTATCATCAAAAATGGTACTTATATACTGAAACGACTTCTTTATCTTTCAGGGTTACTAGTTCACAATCAATCGTTCTATCAGGCTGGTTTTGGGGTTTTTTACGTCCAAACAATAGGAAAATTTTTGAGAGGACAATTAAAAGTGTATTAATAAAACATTAAAATATTTCTGAAAACGTTACATTTTTAACAGAAGAAGTTTTTGTATTTTTAATGTAAGTATTTTTGTTCATACAAAGTCTTCCTATGTTTCCTTATAGTTATCCAAATTGAATTTTTATTCTTATAATCTTACCTCATGCATTGTAGCTTTGATTATTTGATCAGCAAGTGCTATTTAACTGAAATTATCAAGTATCCTCCAATTACAACTCAAAATCTGAATAAAACAGAAAATGTCAATATTTGTTATATAAATATACAATGATATTCAATAAGTTTTGGTATGCGTATTTGATTTTTCATTATCACTTTTTACATTAGATACATCCGTATGAAAACTAGTATTTCAATTACTAATTTTTTGCTTTAAGACTCTGTTAAATAAGTGTATACAGGGTGGGCCAATCAAGTTAAAACCCGCAAATTATTTAGTTATCTTTGCTGGAATTTTGAAAAACGTCACTGGTCTGGTCTTACGGGATTTTTAACGCATAATATATCAACATCAAATATAATTAAAATAGGCATGTTAATTGTTTAACAAAACCAAATAGGTTTATTTCGCACTTGTCATTTGAAAAATAAAAATTTTGATCTTGTAATTCTTGTTTTATTGTAAATCTAGATGCCTGACAGTAATATACAGTCCTAAAAAGTTTAAACAAATTCCAAAAAATTGTATTGTGTGTGTTCAGATTAGTTTATTTATGAAGGTATAAAAAAAAACATTGTTATCATTTATTGTTAATTTTTTAAATAGCAATTTTCATCTTTTTTCCACATTATCTCATCAAGAAATTGTTATCGAGTTATTGAGAGATAAATGCGATGCCAATAATAATTTATTTATCGAAGATATTTATCTATTTTGTAAGTGGTGTAATATTTTGCCGATGATTAGTTTTGTATAAACGTGTTTTAATATCATTATAGTCTACAGATTTAAGGTAGGTTTAAATTGTTTTATATTAATACTCATACACAGAAAAATGAAATACCTATGCAAGAGTGTTCTTATGTAAAATTGATTTTCAAGAATTTTTTTGTTAATGCTTTTTGCTGAATCAATTTGAAATTTCACTTAAATGCGCTCCCATTCTTCCTCTTTTCATCCAGAAAATTTCAAAATTATTCCTGCAACAGTTTTCTAGAAAAAAAATCAATTATGCAACAGTGTTTTTTGTAAAATCTAGTTTCTGGAAGTTGATTTTCAAGAATTCTCGTGTTGATGATATTTTCTGCTGAATCATTTTGAAATTTCACTTAAATGCGCTTTCATTCTTCCTCTTTTCATCTAGAAAATTTCAAAATTATTCCTGCAACAGTTTTCTAGAAAAAAAATCAATTATGCAACAGTGTTTTTTGTAATATCTACTTTCTGGAAGCTGATTTTCGAGAATTTTTCTTGTTGATGTTTTTCATTGAATTGATTTGAAATTTCTCGCTCCCATTCTTCCTCTTTTCATCCAGGAAATTTCAAAATTATACCAGCAACAGTTTTCCAGAAAAAAAATTTAACATGCGATGAGTGATTTTTGTAAAATCTACTTTCTGTGAGTTGTTTTTTAAGAATTTTTCGTGTTGATGTTTTTTTTATTTATTTATTTATTGGTTCTTCTTACAAACACCATACAAAACAATAATTACATATAAGAGCCAATATACATACATAAATAAGGACAATACACAAAACAGGGCTAGCTAGCTAGCTTAACAGGTAATATCATCTATGAAAGATATTAGATTGCAATTGGAAAAATCTAAATCACAGTTATTTTGCATTAAAGTATTACATGTCTTAAGCCATAGATGTTAGGGGTGAATCTTTAGTGTCTATATGAAATATACCTACATTTCTTTGCCTTAAATTAGTCTTTGGTACTTTAAAATATATATCATTTATCAACAGGCAATTCTTATACTTAATATTATTTAGAATGTAATATATAAAGATCACAGATTGCTTTTGTCTTCTAAATACTAGAGAGTGGAACTGAAAACTATTTAACATAGATCTGTATGACACCATATACGGATATATATTATTTTTCCTTACATACAGGAATCTGAGAAATCTTTTTTGGACTTTCTCAATTAAATCTATATTTTGATTTGCTTGAGGAGACCAGATGATAGATGCATACTCCAAATGCGAGCGAACCAATGCATTGTACAACAAAATAATGGTATCAATATGTACAAAATGTTTACTGTTCCTAATAATAAACCCTAGAGCCCTGTATGCCTTGTTCACTATATACTCATAATGAGTTTTAAATCTAAGAGATGGCTGAAAATATACACCGAGATCCATAATGTTATCTACACGTTTTAGCATCTTACTATCTATCATAAAATCATGTTTTACTAGATTTAATTTACGGGAATAAGACATTACACAACATTTATCCACATTTAAGAACATGTTATTTTTTGAGAACCAATCAACAATACTATTCAAATCAACCTGTAACAGGGCACAGTCATTTTCACACGATACAGTTTTAAAAATTTTAAAATCATCAGCGAAGAGCAAACTATCAGAATGTTTAACAACACCAGGTAAACTATTTATAAATATGGTGAACAATATAGGACCTAGATTGCTGCCTTGGGGAACCCCAGATGTTGCTGTGAAATGTTCTGAGATGCAATTACCAACTTTAACAGATTGCGTTCTATTAGTTAAGTATGACTGAATGAAAATGTAGGCACTTTTTGAAAAACCAAATTCAGCAAGCTTCCCCAGCAATATCCGATGGTCCACCTTTCATTGAATAAATTTCAAATTTCTCGTAAATGAGCTCCTGTTCTTCCTCTTTTCATCCAGAAAATTTCAAAATTATTCCTGCAACAGTTTTCCAGAAAAAAAATCAAATATGCAAGAGTGAAATCTAGTTTCTGGAAATTGATTTTCAAGAATTTTTCGTGTTGATGTTTTTCATTGAATTTATTTAAAACTTCTCGTAAATGAGCTCCCATTCTTCCTCTTTTCATCCAGGAAATTTCAAAATTATTCCAGCAACAGTTTTCCAGAAAAAAAATTTAACATGCGAGAGTGTTTTTTGTAAAATCTACTTTGTGGATGTTGATTTTCAAGAATTTTTCTTGTTGATGCTTTTTATTGAATTAATTTGAAATTTCTCGTAAATGAGCTCCTATTCTTCCTCTTTTCATCCAGGAAATTTCAAAATTATTCTAGCAACAATTTTCCAGAAAAAAAATCAATTATGCAACAGTGTTTTTTGTAAAATCTAGTTTCTGGAAGTTGATTTTCAAGAATTTTTCGTGTTGATGTTTTTCATTGAATTTATTTAAAACTTCTCGTAAATGAGCTCCCATTCTTCCTCTTTTCATCCAGGAAATTTCAAAATTATTCTAGCAACAGTTTTCCAGAAAAAAATTTAACATGCGAGAGTGTTTTTTGTAAAATCTACTTTGTGGATGTTGATTTTCAAGAATTTTGCGTGTTGATGTTTTTCATTGAATTAATTTGAAATTTCTCGTAAATGAGCTCCCATTCTTCCTCTTTTCATCCAGGAAATTTCAAAATTATTCTAGCAACAGTTTTCCAGAAAAAAATTTAACATGCGAGAGTGTTTTTTGTAAAATCTACTTTGTGGATGTTGATTTTCAAGAATTTTTCGTGTTGATGTTTTTCATTGAATTAATTTGAAATTTCTCGTAAATGAGCTCCCATTGATCCTCTTTTCATCCAGAAAATTTCAAAATTACTCCTGCTACAGTTTTCTAGAAAAAAATCAAATATGCAAGATTCGAGTGTTTTTTGTAAAATCTAGTTTCTCGAAGTTCATTTTCAAGAATTTTGCGTGTTGATGTTTTTCACTGAATTAATTTGAAATTTCTCGTAAATGAGCTCCCATTCTTCCTCTTCTCATCCAGGAAATTTCAAAATTACTCCTGCTACAGTTTTCTCGAGGGGTGAATAGCTGACCCAAAATGTGTACACCGACTGCCAAATTCCACAATCTCTAAGGAAATTTGCTAAGATTGTGAGCGATTCTGTACGATTGTGAGTGATTGTTAACGATTGTGAATGATTGTATAAGGATTGTGACTGATTGTGAGCGATTGTGACTGATTGTGTCACGATTGTGAATGATTGTATCACGATTGTGAATGATTGTGACTGATTGTGTAAGAATTGTGAATGATTGTGTTAAGACAATATAGGTGTTTTTTCACGTGTCAAATGTTTTAAAATGTTTTTAAAACTGGTTTAAAACAATGTCACATGACGTCATAACTTCTCGGCGCGAGAGAATGGTTTTAAAATGTGGATTGTATTGTATTTCGAAACGGTTTGACCAATTTTGATGTGACGTCATGGGTTCATCGCGAGAATATACTGTTTCAAACCTGTTTTGATACAGTTTCAAAAAAGTAAACGCGAGAAAACAGCTCTGGGTCTTTATTTTGAAACAGGGGAGCAGCATTCCCGGGAGAACGAGTGTTCCGTCTTTGTTACATCATTTACATATCATTGAGAAAGACGAAGCACTCGTTCTCTTGGGAACGTTGCTCCCCTGTTTCAAGAATGAGGACTCTTGGTATAATAATTGAGTTAGAATAAAATAACAAAATATCAAAACTAAATTAATAAATAGAAAGAATATTGAGTTTTTTTTATCTTTCTTATACACAGTACTCTGAGCAGTTGTACAGGGTGGCGCAGAGGAAAAGCATGTTTTTCATGTAGTTAATTTTTTTTATTTCCAAGATAATTTTGTTTCAATTAGATACTCGATTAGGAACAGCTAAATGAAGTAATAATCGTGTTTTTCCCAATAAATGAGTCAATTAATAATGAAAAATAATTTCAGTCAAAAAGTGTCGTCCTGCTTTGTGGTCACACATCTCCAACCCCTCTTGAAAGTTGTTCATCACACTTGAAACATGCGTTTCCTCTGCGCCACCTATAAAATCTCAATTTTTCAATTACAGGGTGTCAAAAATGCTAGGTTATATAGAGGAACCATAGAAAAGTAATTTGAGACAGGACACCAATGGTCGAAAGTGCGTCGTTTCCAAAATACAGGGTGTTGAAATTTAAACAACCCCCTTTCATATCATCTGGAGGGCTAATGCTAGGCTGTATTGATATAGGAAGGATATTTAAAAATTCTTTTAATGCACCCCCATTTTCTACCTGGAACTACCAAAAAAAAAAAATTGAAACAAATTGTTTTTTTCTACTACCGTGCCTAAAGTACTTACTTTACACACTGTTCAGAAGACTTAAAATGTCACTTCACGCACTAGTGCGTAAAGTAATGTCAATGACAGATGTCGACAACTGTCAATTTGATATTTTTACGGTAAATTACTTCACGCACTACTGTGTAAAGTGAAAATACTTCACGCACTAGCGCGTAAAGTATTTGTCTAAGTTTATTTTTTTACTGATATTTTATGGGTACTAAAAAAATTTTTTTCTACTACCATGCGTAAAGTACTCACTTTACCCACTATTCAAAAGATGTAAAATTTCACTTCACGCACTAGTGCGTAAAGTAATGTCAATGACAGATGTCAACACTGTCAATTTGGCATTTTTCTGGTAAATTACTCCACTCACTAGTGCGTAAAGTATTTGTCCAAATTCATTTTTTTACACATAGGTATTTGATTGGTAGTAGAAAAAATTTTGTATGCAATACGTGCGTAAAGCCCCTTTTTTCACTCATGTGATTGTCGAACTCGCCTTCGGCTCGTGCGTCAAAATTCACATTCGTGAAAAAATGTTCACTTTACACACTTGTTGCATAAATAACTATTGTATGCAATACGTGTGTAAAGCACCTTTCTTCACTCATGTGATTGTCAAAATTCCCATTCGTGAAAAAAGGTTCACTTTACACACTTGTTGCATAAATAACTATTTTTCTCAAAATAATTTTTTTATTTTTTTTTGGGGTTGTTCTAGGTAGAAAATGAAGGTGCACTATACGAATTTTTGAATATCATTTCTACCCTGAAAATTTGAACAGCCTAGCACTAGCCCTTCAGATTATAAAAGCAGGTTGGTTAAATTTCAACACTATGTATTTTCGAAACGACGCAATTTCGACCATCGATGTCCTATCTCAAACTACTTCTCTATGGTTCCTCTATAAATCCTAGCATTTTTGATGAGTTGAACAGAGACACCCTGTATATACCGCGTGTTTGAATTTAAAAAAATCATCACAGACAGATGTGACAGACAATAACAATAACACAGGAAAATGATGACAAATTATTCAAGAATTTGTTGTGAGATTTGTTTAACTAGGCAGAAAAGTACAAGATTTAATGCCGCGGCTGGTGTTTCATAGCCGAGGCTAGGAAACCAGCCCAGGCATTAAATCGACTTTTCTGCCATGTAAAACATATAATTTTTTCTCCGAATGTTCAAATTCACACATGGACATCTTTTTTATATTTATTTGATTCATTATTATTATAAAAATAATTAAATTATTTTGACAATTGTCATTGTCACCATCAATTTCAAACACCAAATTGAGTGAAATTATTACCTGAAACGTTGTGACACTGTCACTTCTAATGCCTAGGCAGTAAAAGTCCACTTTTACTGCCTAGGCAGTAAAAATACAACTTTTGATCCTGTCAAGTGTCATTAAAAGGCCGCTTTTACTGTCATTCGGAGAAAAATATATTAATTGGGTAAATTGTTTTTGTTTGACGATGGAATACACCATTCCATTGAGGAAGTCATCCTGCAAAGAACTACATTCAGAAAAAATCAAGAGCTGCATTCAAAAAAATAAAGTGGATGATGTTGGCCCGTCGGATTTCAAATTCCATAATGCCATAGTGTAGAAGAGAAAAAGTGGCAAACATGAAGTGCAATTTATTTTGAAGTATCTTTTTTATCCTACAACATCTAGGTCTGGATTCTTAAGTCATCTGAGTTGACTTCTTTTCGGTTTTTTAATTTAAATATTTTTAACTTCGTTTTTAACTCTCTCGCTCAGCAACCTACTACCTCAATGGCAACCAAACATTTTTGAGGTTGGGTTTATTGGTATTCAGTATTTCTCTATCCAGTGCAATTAGAGTTCAGAAATGTGTGCTGTAGGTGGCATACAAAAGTCAGCTCATCAAACGGGCTTATTGGCTTATAGCTATGGGCGAAAATGAAGTAAATTAAACTATTTGGAGGGACCTCATATGTCACAGATGGTGGTAGATTGTGGAACGATTGTGAGAGATTGTGTAACGATTGTGAGATATTGTGCAACGATTGTGGGAGATTGTGACACGAATGTGAGAGATTTTGTGTGATTGTGCAACGATTGTGACAGATTGTGTGAGATTGTGTAACGATTGTGACAAATTGTGAACGATTGTGAATGATTGTGTGAAGATTGTGAAAAATAAGTACACCGACTGCAAGAGCTATTCACCCCTCGAGTTTTCTAGAAAAAAAATCAATTACCTATACAGTGTTTTTTTGTAAAATCTAGTTTCTCGAAGTTCATTTTCAAGAATTTTGCTTGTTGATTTTTTTCATTGAATTAATTTGAAATTTCTCGTAAATGAGCTCCTATTCTTTCTCTTTTCATTCAGAAAATTTCAAAATTATTCCTGCAACAGTTTTCCAGAAAAAAAAAATCAAATATGCAAGAGTGTTTTTTGTGAAATCTAGTTTCTGGAAATTGATTTTCAAGAATTTTTCGTATTGATATTTTTTGCTGAATCAATTTGATATTTCACTTAAATAAGCTCCCATTCTTCCTTTTTTCATCCACAAAATTTCAAAATTATTTCAGAAACAGTTTTCCAGAAAAAAAAAATTAACATGCAAGAGTGTTTTTTGTAAAATCTAGTTTCTGGAAGTTGATTTTTAAGAATTTTTCGTGTTGATGGTTTCCACAGAATCAATTTGAATTTCCACTTGAAAAGCTTCCATTCTTCCACTTTTCATTCGGAAAATTCCAAAATTTTCCCTCCATTAGTTTTCTAGAAAAACTTTGAAATATGGGAAACTGTATTTTCAATTTATTTAGTTTTTGTTAGTTGATTTTGAAGATTCTTCATGTTATTATTTTCCACTAGAAAAATTTGAAATTTTGGGAAAATGAACTCCTAACTTTCCTTTTTATATACAAATAGTTCAAAATTTTCCCTTCATTGGTTTTCCAGAAAAATTTTCAAATGTGAGAGACTGTATTTCCAATCAATTTAGTTTCTGTACCTAAGTTGATTTTCAAGATTTTTCATGTTAGAAAAATTTCAAATTCTGGGAGAACGAGCTTCTAAGTTTTGTTTTCACTGAGCTAAAATCTGTTAACTTTGAGTCAACGTGATAAAACTTGCAAAAAGCAATAGTTGGTTTAAACATTAACATCTCGAAAATGAAACTTTGTTCTTCACTCATCATTCTTATGGGTCCAGAACTATTTCACTATCAACATATTATGCTTCTTGAACTAGTTGATATTTTTCCTCAGCGCAACCCAAATGTTTTTTCTCTTGATTATTTAATTCAAAATTGAGTTTGAGAGATTTTGCAATCTCATTTAAGATAACATAAGAATTTTTACTAAAATTATCATTTCTCATAACTCGCAATTTGGGAGAACCGAAATTCTTTTTCTCTGAAAAAAAAAATAGAATTTGCAGTTATAGTTGAATTTCCATACATGCATTGGTACAGCATAACATTTAGCTAATTTAGCACAAAATAAACAAAAACTTATTTCTTTGCACCAATAAATTACGAAGAGATTGTTCAGGGATCAATAATTCGTTATCACATTATAAACAACTAAATTTGTAATGTCGACATTTTAATGCTATAAAATAATTGGGTTGTAAAAATTAGAAATATGTCTGAAAATAATTAGGCGAACAAATCTAATTGTTATTATAACAATTAGTATAATAAAGAAAAAACAAGAAATAAAGCTCATCTTTTTGAATACAAGTCAGTGGGCAATACACTCTTATCAATCGAAAACGTAGGTCAGTATAAAGTAGATAAAATATATTTTTGGATAATTTATAGAATCAATATTATATTGTGTGGAAACTTACCTTTATTTATTGTTTTAGGCATAAGGCAAAAATGTAATAAGAAAAAAATTAAAATAATTAAAAACAAATTTGTTTGAGGTAAGTAGGTACTTGGTGCAGAAATCTTAAATCAAATTAATATGTCCATAGTGTCCATCATGGTAGCTGGACCTCCATCATCCAATCGTGGACACCACAGCCATGACCACAACAAATCTAGACGGACAAGTCACAATTTGGGCAAACTACAAGGACGAGAATCATTTTTGACATCAACAATCAGTATTTTTGTCGATGAAAATCAACCCTTAATCCCTGACGGAGGCTGGGGTTGGCTAGTAGTACTAGCATCATTATTCATCAATCTAGTATCCGATGGTATAACTTGTTGTTTCGGACTTTTATATATAGATTTCTTACATGAGTTTGGGGCTTCGAAATCGGCCACTTCGTGGATTGGTAGTTTGTATGTGGCAGTACCACTAGTTGGTAAGTGATGTTGAGTTGTGCAAAAGTATTTTTACAAAAATAGTATTTTAGGTGGTCCAATTGGTAGTGCTTTAGTCGACAAATACGGCTGCAAAAAAATGACAATAGTAGGTGCACTGATATCGACTTTTGGTTTTATTCTCAGCACTTATGCCAAAAACATTGTAGTTATGTATATAACTTTTGGGTTCTTGGGAGGCATAGGTTTGGCATTGTGTTACGTCACAGCAGTGGTAGCTATAGCTTTTTGGTTTGACCAAAAACGTACTTTAGCTTTGGGATTGGCTGCTGCTGGATGCGGTTTCGGCACTGTTATTTATTCTCCATTAATTACTATATTGTCGCTAGAATATAGCTGGCGAGGTACTGTGCTGATTTTAGCTGGATTGTTTGCTAATATGATTGTTTGTGGATTGTTGCAGAGAGATCCTGATTGGATTATTAAACAGGAGAAAGATAGGTAATAATGCTACAGTGTATTGGAGTTTAAATTTAAAAAAAAAAAAATTCTAGATTGGCCCAAGAGAAAAAACAAAAAGATGAACAAAAACAAATAAAACACAAAAAAATCGATGAATCCAAATATGTTATCGATAACATAAAAACCAAAGTCGATATCAAGCAAAAAGATAGATTTCACTCTGTAGTACATTTGCCGACTTACATAGGCGATCATAAGGAGGTAATTAATTAAACCAATACAAATTCCTTCGATTATCACATGAAAACAAATAAAATTTGATATAGACATTATCAATTATCATAATCAGGATATAACTGGTTAAACTATATATTTATGTATTTTTCTCAAGGTGCCATTGGAAGTCTTGAAAAATTTAACCAACGACAAACATTTATACAAAGTAATTTTGGAAAACTACCCCAATTTGCTTTCCAGCCAAAGTCACTCGGATACAGGTCCGGATAAATTGGCGGCCGAAGCCTCTCTAGTCAATACAAGAGTACCTGTTAAATATTCCATGAAAGGTACTAATAATTTTTGTTTCAAAATCTAACAAGCAAATGATGTTTTTTTGGTTTCAGTAACCCCCTCTAAACATGCTACATTTATCCCTCTTACCAAAAGCGACTCTGGTAAATCAAAGCAGCAATCGAATGGGCACTTGCAGCACGGATATTTGGCAAATATTAAATTGAAAAAAGAATCATTCGAGGTTGATAAAGCGTTATTGTTGAACATGCACAAATATAAAATAAGCTCTAGTTTACCCGAAGGAATTTGGCAAAATCAAGTTGATATTCCAAAAGAAGAAAATAATCAAAAATGGTATCATAATTTCATTGAAGCATTTGGAGACATTATAGATTTTTCCTTATTTTTTCAACTTCATTTTTTCCTAGTCAGTATAGCTACTATATTAATGTGCATTTGGTTCGCGGTACCTTTTGTATATTTAGCTGACCACATGAAAACTATTGGCTATGACGATTATGCCACTTCCTTAACAATTTCTGTAATTGGTGCAACAAATGTAGTAGGAATGGTAATAGCTATTATATACCTACATATTGGATAAATTTCAACTAGCTAATTTTGTAGATCATAATTGGATTTCTAGGAACCAAAATGAAAGTAGTTACTTTATATGCAGCCTGTTTATTTTTATCAGGCATTTGCTGTGCAGCAATGATGCTGTTTTCGAGCAGTTTCTACATTCTGCTGGTTTCCAGCGGCGCTTTTGGACTGTTTTACGCTTGTCAGCATTCGCTGACACCGGCAGTTATAGCTTTGCTCGTGCCACTGGATAGATTCAGTATGGCTTACGGGTTGAGTTTGTTGTGCCAGGGTATTGGGAAATTGACTGGACCACCTTTGGCAGGTAAGAATTGTCAATGGGATTTTTGGATGATTTCCAGGACTTATTTTGAAAATCCTGATTTAACAACATTTAGGACGGGTATTATAAAACTACTTTGAGAGTTAACTTAAAGTTAACTTCTGGAATTACATGTAATTCAAAAAGTTAACTTCAAGATAACTGTCCAAGCAGTTTTATAATACCCGCCCTTAAAGACACTTCTTATAGGATTTCTGACCGTGGTCAAATTTAACCAAATTCCAGTATGTTATAGATCTCACTTTTCTGATCAATAACTACCATGGGCACAACTTAATCCTATGACTAGTTTCTGAAATACAGGTAGTTTAATGTCCAAGAAATGTATATACTTGTCACCTGAGCATGAGGATACCTGATACCTGTCCATCCTGATATTAGGTGACAGGTAGATGTAAATGCATATAAAATGTTTGGACATTAAACTAAAGTCTTTCGTCAGATGAATCTGAGCTGGTAATTCCCTACGTTAGAACGCACGACGTCACACCTGTTTTTGCCATATACTTCACCCCCTCGCTCCTCATACAGAAAGTATCAGATTAAAATCGACAGACAATACCTGTATCTCAAAAACTAGTCATAGGATTAAGTTGGGCCCATGGTAGTTATTGATCAGAAAGGTGAAATCTGTAACATACTAAAATTTGATTACCTAAATGTAACCGCGGTCAGAAATCCCATAAGAACTGTGCGGGATCCATTTATTGAGTTTTGAATTAATTGAGATAGAATTTTATATTTATACAGGGTGTTACAAATTCGTGAGTAAATTTTGAGGATTTTTCCGAAAAAAAAAGTTTCAATTTACCATAAAGAGTGTTGAAGTAACAGTTTGGGATTTTTTGATTAATTGAAAATGGTGGTGGACAAAATTCTTACCAGACTGAATAGGTACCTAGTGCTGAATACCAGGTCATAGGCTATGTAGATGACCTGGACATTATAATCAAGGGCAAACATGAAGGCGTAATAACAAGCCGAATGCATAAACATCGTTAAAAATTGGAGCGAAGGCGAGGAATTATCCCTAAACCCAAACAAAACAATTCTTATCCCGTTCACAGGAAGAAGGAAGCTTAATTTGAAAGCCCCCACCCTTCACGGTACAACACTAACATTTTCCAACGAAGTGAAATACTTCGGGGTCACCCTGGACCAAACATTCACTTGGAATATACAGAGAAAACATACTCTAGAGCTATAACAGCCATCTGGTCATGCCGCAAACTGGTTGGTAAAACATGGGGGCTAAAGCCAAAGATGGCATTCTGGATTCATCATACTATAATAGAGCCCATCGTCACATATACAGGGTGTCCCAGGGAAAACAGTCCACCCCGATTTATTGGGTTTGGGATGAGAATCTGGGAAAACGCTCGGACACGTCGATGTTTGATTTGAGGGGGAACTATTTTTCAGTTTTTTTCATCCTCCAAATTTAAATAGGGGATAGGGGTCGTGTCATACCTCTTTTTAAAGGTCTCATCAAGTTCTTTATGGCTCTAGAATTTCATCCTATTATTTTCATCCATAACGAAATGACAGCTTATCAAAATCTTGGAAATGGATTATGTTTTAGTAGGAGTAAAAGCGGTATACTTACCTCCCTTAATAAAAATACGAGTAAAAATATCTACAATTTACAATTCTGATGTACACCTTATTAATAATAATAAGAAAAAACTTCATTTCAAGTATTTTTATTAAGGGAGCTAAGTATCGCTTTTGCTCCCACTAAAACTAATAGTCTATTTCCAAGATTTTGACAAGCTGTCATTTCGTTACGGATTAAAATAATGAGACGAAATTTTAGGGGCCTAAAGAACTCGATGAGACCTTCAAAAAGAGATATGACGTGACCCCTATCCCCTATTCAAATTTGGGGGGTTGTTCTCCCTCTAGCTAGGGGGTTGAAGCTACGGGGATGAAAAAAACTGAAAAATAGTTTCCCCTCAAATCAAAAATCGACGTGTCCGAGCGTTTTTCCAGATTCTCATCCCAAATCAAATAAATCGGGGTGGACTGTTTTCCCTGGGACACCCTGTATATGCCTCATTGGTATATTGGCCCAAAACTCAGGATGTCATTGCTCAAGCTGAACAAGGTACAAAAGTTGATATGTTTAGGAATAATGGGCGCAATGTCGACCTGCCTCACCGCAGCCTTAGAAACGCTGCTCAACATACCTCAACCACAGCCTCAACTTCATCTATGTATGAAAAAGGAGGCAATGATCAGCGCTCACAATTTATTCCAAACAGACAAGTTCAAGCCTGGTGATCTGAGGGGACATGTGCGCATCTTTGAATTAATAAAATTGGAGAATGCCAGCAAACCAAGCGACCACATAATGGTCAGATTGGACTAAAATTCTGAAATGTCTGTAGGAATTAAATTTTGCAGATCCCTAAGAGAGCTGTGAGTGCACTTGTGCCAAACCAGTCCTGCTAGTAAAGGCGTTAAAGAATTCATCGAAAATGCTCTATGGAAGACCAGAACAGATAATCGAAGCACACAATAAACAAATTAGAGAATTGATTGCCAGCACCTAAAGCGGAAAAGCTAGAAACTTTGGTCGAGTTTTCGCTAGCTGTGAAATATCTGTTTAGCCTTGCCTACTCTAAAAGCTGCTGAAAATAAACCGTTTCAAAGAAATGAACGTTCCAATATCCATGAAACAGCTAAATCTGAAAGCTATCTTAACTAAACCTGTAGAATATGCAGTGAACAATATCATCAAACCACCGATTGTCAACAATTTCAAATATATCCTGTAGATGGGAAATTGTCAAGCGATCAAATCTATGCAGGCTATGTTTGAAAAGACATCGATATCCGGTAAAATATGATTAAAACAACTGCCAAAGCAAAAACCACCCCCTTCTTCACAATGAAAAAGAAGAATGCTCAAACCCTGACAATTATTCTACTAGGAAAAATGAAAACCAAGCAAATTCAGGTTCTGCGATTTCATATATAGCATGTTGACATATCTACAGAAATCAACGCATCCCAAGTCTATAAACCTGAGAATAAAAATTTGAGGTTTAGAATCCTGCCAGTAGTTCTGAGAAATGGTCGAAATGGAACATTTGAGGTAAAGACTTACGCCTTTCTGGATGAAGGATTGTCTGCGTCAATAACACTTATGAACGAAAACATCGCAAAAAAACTAAATATACATGGAAATCAAGAAACATTGTGCCTGCAGTGGACCGGAGAACAAAAACGTTTAGAAAATAAATCTGAAAAAGTTGTTATATCTATTGTTAAAGCAAACTCAAATCAAAATTTCAACAATATTTTATTTCGCAACTGAACGGGTAAAGTATTTATGACCACGGTCAATCAGGTACTCCCTGCCTTTTTGCTTTTCATCCCTTTTCTCTTAGCAAACTTCTTGGTTTTTGGTATTATACCTGACAGTCGAACATTACACAAGAGTTGTTTCGTAACTCTTGGGTGCACTTGTACTTGTCTTGCAGTGGCGGGTTGATTGTACCAAGCCAGGTAAACATAGCCCAGTGGTGTAACACTATATGTGGCGATTTTGAAGGAGCAAAACAGTTTGATGCAAGATCAGCAAGAACTGTAGGAACTTTAAAATTACCAAAACAAACTTTAAACGCAACTAAGATAAAAAAGCATTTCCCATAGGTTCCTAAAAAGAACACCATTTTCTTCGTAAAAAGAAGCAGATCCAGAAATTTTAATCGGCTTGGATAACTATGGGATTTAGCACTACCACTTAAAGTTCAAGAACCCCCAAAAAATGTAGGACATACATCCTATAGCAGCCAAATGTAGACTCGGATGGTCTGTATTCGCCTTGTCTCTAAGCTCTTATGATATATACGAAAACTATACTTTCCATGTTTGTGACTGCAATATCAAAGAAGTAATAAAAACTTTTTGGTGCAGTAAAAAAATATTATTCGATCGAAAGCCTTGAAGTCCAAAATATTCAAACGTCAGTTTCCAAAGAGGTAGCACGAGCAAGATTTATTCAAGAGAACACGTTGTTTCAAGAAGGATGTCAGTATAAAATTGGATTGTTATGGAAATATAACACCTTTGAGTTATCCAATAGTAAAGAAATGGCGATTAGAACTTTAAAGTGCATTGAGAGAAAAATAGAACACAATCCAGAACTAGACATCAAAATGAATGAACAGCTAGAAGAATTCGTCCAGAAAAAGTACATAAGAAAATTGACTTTCAAAGAACTTTCTCACGCTCATGCGAAAATCTGGTATCTGCCTATATTTCCTGTGTCCAATCCAAATAAACCCAGAAAATTTCGGATCGTATGGGACGCAGCAGGTCAGTTCAGGGTATCTCTTTAAATTCAACGCTTATTAAAAGGTGATGACCAACTGGCCTCTCTGTTTGGCGTACTTATTCGTTTTAGGGAAAAAAAATTGGATTCTCAGCAGATATAAAAGAAATGTTCCTGAAGGTCGGTATAAAATGTGAGGATCGACACGCGCAACGTTTTTTGTTGCGAGGCGGTAACCCTGAAAATCCTATTGATACCTATGTTATGACCGTTATGACATTTGGAGCGACATGTTCTCCAAGCTGCGCCCAATTTGTTAAAAATTTTAATGCCAAAAAATACAGTGAAAAATATCCAAGGGCTGCATCATAAACAACCATTACGTAGATGATCTTCTTGACTCTGCAGTGCAGATACTGAAGAAGAAGCTATAGAAATTTCTAAACAAGTAGGTAACCTCGATTCACGCTAATGGAAATTTTGAAATTCGAAATTGGCGCTCGAATTCCTAAGTTCTAAGTACCTAATGACTGAGATGAACAATAATTCCCAACTATCAAATCAAGCAAAAAATTTAGACCTCGAAAGTGAAAAACATACAGAAAAAGTTTTGGGTATGTGGTAGGATTTGAAATGAGATACTTTCATATACACCTTGCGTTTAAATAAAGGAAATAGGGACATTTTAGATGGAAAACGAAAACCTACAAAAAGGCAGATTCTACGTATACTTATGTCAATTTATGATCCAATAGGACTGCTTGCAAATTTCCTAGTCTACGTAAAAATTCTTCTGTAAGAAATTTGGCGAAGTAACATTTCATGGGATGAAGAAATTACCGATGGACAGTTTAAAAAAAATGGTTAATTTGGATTAAATTGTTACCAAATAGTCCGGGAGGTATAGTGTCACTTTTTTATTAGTGATTTATCTCCGACTCAAATGTGATTTATTGAAGAGTTTCACCATTACTGTGATCAAAATTGAAAGTCAGTCAGCGCGACCGCGGTGGGTGTGAGTGTGGGAGGCTGTGGAACTCGTCGGAAAAACTATGAAAAAAAGTAAATAATCTGCACATGAAAATTTGTTAGAATGTTAGTTATTGAGTTAAACGTGAAAATAGTCATGCTTCCGACGGGGGAAAAATTGTCAGTCAGAGGTTTGAAGCAGTCGGCAAAGTTGGAAAATTCAAGTGACCGATCTTCACTTAAAATTTCATGGATTGATTATTTGATTCAAATCAAGCATGAAAATGAACGTCAGCCACCTTTATCATGGTGGATTCTGCGTCAGTCGGGTTTCCAAAGTCGAGGGCAGTGACCAGGTTTCTTTGGTTGGCGCGCTGCATCTTATGCACTTTGACTGACGAATAATCCACCGGCATGAATGTGCATGAGATTTTGTCATTTTTTTGATCAATTCTAATGACTCAATGATTCAAATAACTAAATTCAATTCATGAACAGTTACTACCACTATTTTTCTAAATTAAAATATTGCGTTCACTGAAATATCATTCTTTTTTTTTATTGCTAATACAAAATACGAAAATCTTATGAAATTAATCGGTTTCACTATCACTCTGGCTGTCCGACTCTTCTGTAGAGCTTTCATCGTCATAATCTGATCACTCTTTGTGTCCGTCAGCATCTTTTTGACAATAATACGGATTTTTAGAGTGAAATCAGATAATAGATCACTAACGTGAAATGATTTTTGACTACCTGTCCGATTTTTGGTAAATCATCGGTGATATCTTGAAGGTCAGGCAACTGTTCTCCATCGAACCACTTGAAAATATATTTTCCATCTTCTTCTTGCCAGCCATAATCAATCGGACTAGTTATAGTTTTTATGTGCTGCGAAGCATGAGATCACATTTGCGCAATGTGCGAAGTTCTTAAGAAATGCTGGTATAATTCAGACTTACACGGCGGTAAAGCTGAACCTTCGAAATTGCTTTTTGTTTTCAGAATAGCTTCATTATCTTCGATTTTGTATGTCTTCATGAACGTTGCTAAACGAGCTGAGTTAACATCTTTCAATGTTTTGTACCCATACATTTGACATACAAAACCCTCCAAAACAGAAAAATGTTCACACAAATCATCATCATACCATTGTGAAATATCAATAAAGGTATCGATATAATTTGATGATAATTGATTTTTTTAGAAGTCCGTAAGGCTTTTTTTTCCCTTACGATAGAAAGCGGGGTTGAAGTCGCATCCAGTAGAAGCATGGAAAGCTGGCGACGCTTCACTCAAGTCTTCACCTAATTTTTTAATATATTTTTGTGACGCCTATGTAACGATTATTATTTCCAAGTCCTGTGAAAATCGAAATGTAAATTATGTGTGATACTATGCATGTTACCGAGCATAATCACAATTATATCTTTGTCTGAATATCGTATTCGTTACATGAGCATCGAAATTCAACTCGCAGACATGAAAAATAATTTTAGAGTCAGCTTCCAAATGTTCAGAGCATAACAAATCTTCCTCTACTGTTCTGACAACCTTATTATCAATGACTTCGAACTTGAAACATTTATCATAGTTTACGAGAACAGTTCGGTCACCAAAGTAAGGACTCATATGGTCCTGATTCCAATATTCACATAAAAATCTCACCAACGCTTCCTTGAAATAAGTATTATTCAAATTGTTTTTAAAATTCGATGATCATTTCTGATGAGGTCCATTGATGGTAAAACGATTTCCCTCTACTCTTCCACGCATTATCTGTTCGTTATTTTTTATCGATAAGGAAACGTAACGATCGAACGCAATAATGATGGTTTTTGCGCGGTTCGCAGTGGAAGAATGTAAGATTTTCTGCGAAATGTTTCCAAAAGATACAGGAATTTCTGTCATAGCGTGGACTGTGTGAAAACCATCGAAAACGATGAAGTTACATTGTTCGGGCACATGACTTTCCACTTCTTCCTCCAGAATATACAGTAAAACGGATTTATCGGTTTTACATATTGTTCCTTCCAAGTGGCAAAACGCTAAAGGAACTGGAGCTAAGAGGTAAGTCAAAACTTTTTCGATATTCAATGTTTTCTCCAACGATACTCTCAAGAGCTTTCCAAACATATCTCTTTGCAATTTTACCTCGACAATTTTTCCATTGACGTTCATCTGCTTCTTGTCTACTGCATCTGCAAACGTAAGGATTTCATTCTTCTTCAACGCTCTCTCAAACCGAAGAGGATCTTATGAACATTCTATAATAAACGTCACTTGCAGTTTTTTTCCGTTCTCCTGTAAGTTGAGAATTATCTTAGACATTCGATAAACAATCGTCAGTCGGCACGCAGCTGGTGGATTATTCGTCAGTCGAGCTGCATAAGATGCAGCGCGCCAAAGAAACCTCTGGTCATTGCCCTCGACTTTAGATAACCCGACTGACGCAGAATCCACCTCGATATAAGTGGCTGACGTTCATTTTCATGCTTGATTTGATTCAAATAATAATTCTATAAAATTTCAAGTGAAGATTGGTCACTTGATTTTTCTAACTTTTCCGACTGCTTCAAACCTCTGACTGACCATGTTTCCCCCGTCGGAAGCGTGACTGGATGAACATTTTCACGTTTAATTATGAATAATTAACATTGTAACAAATTTTCATGTTCAGATTATTAACTTTTTTTCATAGTTTTTCCGACGAGTTCCACAGACTCCAACACCCACACCCACCGCTATTGGACTGACTGACGCGCGGATCTCATATGTGCATGTGGAGAACTACGCATGCTGAAAAATTCGTGTGAAGATCGATCACTAATCCAAAAGTGACACTACCTCCAGGACTAAAACATTGAAAAGCTGAAAATAGCCCGATGTTATCTTGGACAAATGGAGAATTGGAAGAACTGCCAGACCCAGCTCCACATTCTCGAAACACAAATATTTGCTATTTGGCAAGTAGCGATTAGTGTGTATGGGTTGCTCGGTCATATATTCGCTATAATTGCCCGAACAACCCATACACACTAATCGCTACTTGCCGAATAGCAAATATTTGTGCCGAATACCGCATGTCTGTGCCCGCCTTTAAAGGAAAACACATCTTCATACATCAGATAGCCAAGCTGCCCTAAAAATAAACTAGTCTGGGGAGTGTAAACAGACCCTAAAAATACTAGCGACACACAACCAGGTCTGATATGGTTGCCTGGTCATCGAGGCATAGAAGAAATCGAAGAAGCAGATGGCCTCACAAAAGAAGAGGCCTCAACACCATACCATGGACCAGAGCCCTATTAGGGCTTGATTAAAAGCTACATCATGGAAGAACTCAACAAATGGGAGAAAAACCAACTCTCATCATATTGGAGGCACACTCCGGGACTAAGACAGTCAAAAACGTTTATCACCCTTTTGGCAAAAAGAACTGCACAGCTCCTAAACATGAGCAGACCAGACATCAGAATGGTTGTAGGACTGCTCACAGGACACTGCCTGGTGAAATACCACTCAAGGTTAATGGGCACAGCAGAAAACGATCTCTGCAGATTCTGCTCAGACGCAATAGAGACCGTAGAGCGCGCAATTCTGCAAGAGGCTCAAATTCCTAGAGGAGGCAACACTGTCATCAGAAAAAGTGGGCCAACTGACACCGAGAAAAATAGCTTCTTTCGGCAGAAGTCTATGCTTCCTGGAGACAATTTAGGATGTAGAGTCACGCACAAAATATCTGCAAAAGGTAGCAGTGCAATACAATCTACAATCTAACATTGTTATGATTCAAAAAAAAATTAGAACCAAAAAATGAAATTGCGCAACTTTAATCCACCCTGTATCTCTTATAATTACCCATACTTACTCGCAAATTTGTAACACCTTGTATATTTAAAATAAATATAATTTAACTTTAATAAAGGCATACATATTTTTCAGGATATCTTTATGATATAACCCAATCCTACAGCCAGTCATTCTACCAAGCAGCAGTTTGGATATTTGTTGCTGGTCTACTTATAGGCGTTATACCGTACACAAAAGACAGAAAATTGTTCGGTAGGTGACAAAAACTAGTGTATAGTTTGGTTGTATTATTTTCAATTTTTTGTAATATAGATAAATGTTACTGTAGTAGAATTATTTTTATTAAAAAACAATAATTTTCAATACTAAAACATTATTTGGAATGAAGAGAAAAACACTACATAAAACTCTATACATTAAAAACACAGATCATGTTTGCACAACGCTTCAATAACAATCCATACTATTAATATCCACTATATTATACTCTTTCAAAATATCATCCAACAATGAATCAAATTCATTAAGACCATTGAGACTTTTATTCTCCTCTGTGGCAGGCAAATTAACACTTGCATCATATATAAACTTCACAAACTCCGAAGGAGCCAAATACTGCCGTTTCTGCATTTGACTATTGGTGTTTTGCATCTGATCTTTGGGATTGTAAATTTGTTCCAGAAACGACATATCATTACCATTTAGTAGATCATCAAGTACCAAATCTGCTCTAACAGAATCATAACTTGGTGTTTCCTAAATAAACAATTTAATATAATTTCTTTCACTGTACATACAGAAATCTTACCTTATCATTGTTTTGTTCTGAACACTGGGTTCCATAACCACTATCACCAGAAATGGAATTCATAGGAGAATCTGGGCACATACAATTTATATTCAAGGATGGACTAGGGGGTACTGGTAAAGGGCTCAATGCTGTATCTAATAGGGAGCTCAAAAACTACAAATAAACTATTAAATATTGTTTTAAAGAATTACTTAAACTTACTGCAGGACTGTTGACGTCATAAAAATCTGAACAACTTGCAGTATTTGTTGTAGTACTGCAGGGGCTTGGGACAATAATTGTTGGTTGTTCTAAATCCATATTTTCAAAAGAAACCTAGAAGAATGTTTTAGTCCAAATTTAGTCAAATTTATTCATTACCTTATATTTTCTAAATCCATAGGCAAATCTTTCAATCATAGCTGAAAGTTTCCTAGTTACTTCAACCTCGCATTCATCCAAACAGGCAGTTTTCAGCACATACAAACAACCCACATGGCTCATCTGGTTCAGGCCCATAATCATACGTTTGACTGTTTCAGCTTCGGTCATTGTAACGATTTTTTTTTGTTCTTTAGCAAATATGACCGGAGGAAAGACGCACTCCTCCATACCTTGATCTTTGAACTTTTCTTCGATCACGTAAAACCAAAAATCTAGAGCATTCGATTTTACTTCCCAGTGTAAATCACCAACTACTGCATGAGTCATTATGTCATAGACTCTAGAATTTTTATTTATGAATATTAATTGGATTATTGACAATATTATTACCTGGGTAATATTTCTTCAGGGTAATTTTGATGCTTATAAATTCTCAAAACCAACTTTGCTGCTTCTTTACGCGCTACTCCTTCAGTTTCGTTTTCAAAAACATTTAAAATTTTTTGCTAAAACAATTTCAACAGAATTAAGTATTAGATTAATTACTATAGGGAAACTCTTACCAGAAAATTATCTATTTCCATAAATTTATCCCAAATTGTTTGAATTTCTATCATTTCTTGTAGGCACTTGAATGCGGTAGTTCTGACATAGAATTCGCCATCATGGAGTGCCATTTGTATGACTAATTGAGGTAGTTCTGATTCTAATAGAATGTTGGTAAATGATGGAAATTCTACAAAAAAAAAAAAAAAAAACATTTTGACCCATGTAAAATGAAAGTTTCCTTGCTTACTTTGATGAAAAGAATTTGAAGTTTTTCAGATGTGAAATTATTGAAGTTCCAATGAAATAACTAAAGATTTAATTGGCTTCATTTTGAGCCTAAGAAAGTTCGGAAACAAAATGTGTGGTAATGTTATTTTGGAAAAAAATCAGTCAAAAAACTTTGATGCTTTACAGTTTGGGAAATTTCCGAGCTGCATTGAAATTATTTATTGGAGATTTGTAGAGGATTTAATTGGCCTTTATTGAAGCCTAATTGGGTAGATGGAAATTAACAAAGTTCTGAGGCAAAATATAAGTCAATGTTATCAGTATATCTTTTTCTTCTAACTGTTCTGATAAGGTATTTTCTATCTCCATCACTTTCAAAATCAAGAAAATTGTAACTTGTTTCTTCTCAATATATAATTGTTATAATGTGAAGGTCTACTTACTAGACTTTGCATTCAAAGACAAAGCACAAACGCACTCCAAAGCTGTATCTCTAACTTCCCAGCTAACATCATGGCATTTTCTGTACAACAAATCACCTGTTCGAGCCACAGCCGAATCTTCGGAATTGTCTAATAACAAAGCCATATTGGGACACAGGCATTTTTCAAAAGATAGATTCAAGACTCTCAAAGCAGCAACTGCAAGCTAAAAAAACATTATTCAATTTTTTTTTTCATTGAAATTTTACATTTATTTACTTTTTGTTGCAACTGTTGATGCTGCAAAAGATCACAAGTAGTATCCATAATTGAAATTGTTTCTATGCTCTCCCTCCAAGTCAAATCAAAAGTTTTCACTAAATCAATCAGGGTTTCCATTACGGTGTGTGTAAAATTGATAGAACTACAAACAAAAAACTCAAAATACCAAACTTAAGATAATAATTCCATAGTACAAACCTTGAATCTATGTTGACATCTGCCTTTAACATACCAACAAGAACCCTAAATGTATAAACTAGAGGCTGAAAAATTAATCCTACTTGTTCCTTTTTGAGTGTATGTTTGGATTTCATGATGTATTGCAAGGCAAAATTTATATCGTCCATAAGGCCAGGTCTTTGAACTAGACGCTCTTTCCAACGATAATCTATCATAGAACTTCAATATTAAAATATCCATATTATGGAAGAAAAAAAAAACTTACACATTTCCATTGTTCTTATTGCAGCCATTTTGTATATTTTTGAACAAAAATCTCTTTTATATGTGTCTGCCAATAGCTCTTCTAAGTTGATTCCTTGCCTTTCACTCACATAAATCTAAAAATTATTTTTACGACTTGGGAACATTTAAAAAAAAAATCCTCACCATCATGGGCATAGTTTCAATGAGAATCATTTGGTTTTGAAATGCAATAGGTTCACCTTTTCTAATACACAAAGGCAACGATCCCAATAATTCACCATACAAGTTTCTAGCAAAATAACAAATTTTTATTACACATCTAAAATGATCCTTATCCATCTCAGCTTCAATAGTATCAAATATATTTTTTAGATTACAAAAAGCTTTTGAATCTTGCATTACATGCGTCATAGTTAGGGTTTCATCAGATTCCTCTGTGCGAAAGTTTGCAAAAAGAAACATGCAACGGATTTTCACTAGTTCAAAGGAAAAGTCTTCTATTTGTGATAAAATTTGTAACTTTTTCACCAAATCAATTGTCTTTAGGCTGATGAATAAATGTATAACGTCACATTGCGTGTCTTTGAGAAGTATTTCTAATACCTAGTAACAGTTAAAATATTACTAAACTGTTAAACAAAATCTGTTACTTACTTACCTCTGATAGAAAAATTAAATTAGGTTTGACAAGTTCAAAAAGGGCACTATTTTCAATTAATAGAGGTTGATTTGAGCCTCTATTAGGTGAGTTTAGTGTATCGTAGAGTGGCTTGGTTAATACACGAATCAAATTGCAACAAAAATTCCTATTTATATTAATTGATTTTCCTAATAATTTAGCAACAAATTGATAACTAAAAAAAAATAATTAATTAACAAAGAAAAATAACTTAAATAAAAATACTAACGCTTTTTTCCTGATATACATTGTATGGGCATCTCTTCCCATAATAACAATATCGCACCAGTAATTTGAAGCTAAAATCCAATTAACTCCACTGGTATGTTCCATAAAAGAATATAGTAAAGTTACCCAGCCTAATGTAACACTTGCATCGTTTTCCAGGTTGGTTTTAGCAAGGCCTTAAACTTATCATGTAAAAATACCTACTTGAAATAATTAGATAGTCATTCTTACCTACAAGACATTTGTAAACGTTTTGGCCATCAAGTCTAACAAAAGTGGCTTCATCAGTACTTAAATGTCTAGCAAAATTTAGGGTGAATGCCAAAATAACGCTAGGAGGATCGATTTTTGTCTGGGACCATAAAGTACAAGCCTGTATTAGCCATTGACAAAAATGGTCTTTTTGTTTGATACTGATTTCTTGTTTTTTCACTATGGAAGTTTGTTTTATGAAAAGTTTTTAACTATATTTTACATTACTTTACCTGATTTCCCAAAAAGATGGGTCAGAAAGAGATTCAAATAAACGTCGTTTTTGAGCTTGAAATTGGGATCCAGGAACTTTTGTAATGCTTTTTTAATTTTTTCATTTTTTTTATCGCTTGTCAATGAACTAGCATTATTTTCCATGATGTTCTGACAGATAAAATTTTGGATTTATATAATGGAATAATGGTTTGTAAACAAAAAGGAGTTACTAGATCCAGCCTGATCTAAAAGCTGTTGGAGAAGTTCAAAAATCCAAAATTAATAAAAACAGACTGGAAGAGAAGAAAATGAAAATCAGTTTTATGTAATGAAATTTATCAATTTTTCAGGTTTTCTGGAGAACCTTTGACTAATAAGGACAGAATTTCCTTTATCAAACCAATTGAAAATTTGCTGATGCATGACTCCATCACTGGCATGTTATTTATATCAATATTATAATCAAATAAGTCGCTTTTGATGTTCAGCCTTCTCTGTTTTCTACACTTTAGGTCCATATTATATCTTTTTTTGTTGTACACACGTTATCCTAACTTCACCACTTATTAAATTAGAGTGCCTTCAAGTATATTTACAATGTAAAGTAGTACAAAATTTCTTGTCTATCACTTAATCTATCTAATTCAAACACGTTTTACTTCCTCATACCTTGAAGGATTCCAAATGTTATTAAGTAAAAATATTATTTACAGAAATTTTAGGACTGACCTAAAAATAATTTAGTATTTGTATTTAAATATTTAAGAAATGTAAATTTATTTAAATTACTTGATCCTTGAAAAGTACAAGAATTTTTCTGTTTTAATAATTGCCTGAAAGCATGGCTTACTGGTACTTATAGGAATTTCAATAGAATTATGTACAGAGTGATCCAGTATAAAGTGAACCCCCTACCTTCTCATTAAAAAACTGATTTCTGAAAAAATCAAGATAGTCATTTGATGTATTTTCTTTTTAGGAATCTGAAAACGTTTTAAGAAATTCAATTAGATTTTTCAACTGGATTTTTCGTTGGAGTGCTGTGACAACAAAAGTAATTTTTTTAAATGGAATAAATATTTCAAAATTCATGAAAGATTGTAGTGTAGTAATAGACCTTCAGAATTTCTATGGACAATAACTGACAATATGACAAAGGTACAACATAACAAGTAAATAAATAGGAAACACAGTAAATAAGGTAATGAGATATACAACATTCTTCCTCGCTCAGTTTCTGACATAATCTTGCAGATATGAAGGTGGTTTATGATTTCTCTTTACCATAACAGGATTCATCAGTAGGTTTCACTGTAGATAAAGCTGGAGACTGGAGGATTTTCATTGTGAGATTGTTCAGAATTTTGGGGAAAGGAACTATTAGAATCATCTATAGGGAACGAAGATGATAAAAGTTCTGCATCAAGTTTTATGATTTTTCCTTCTGTTGTATATCCCAGAATACTGATAGTTAACATTGAAAATTTACATTTTTCATTGTTCAGTGTTAAGATTATACTTTTTTCATGTTCTTTTTTTGTTTTTCCACAAATTGTAACGTCGTTCAAAAATGCATATGTATTGGATAGTCTTTCACTATGTATGATATTGTTAATTATACGTTGAAAGCAGGCTACTTCATTTGTAACGCCAAATGGAATTCTTGTGAATTGATACAAATTGTTACATGCTTTAAAGTTCAAAGCCAGTATAAATTTGCTCATTTTCCAAATTAGGTATTTGATGGTACGCACATAATCTAAGGTACGCACTATGTATAAGTCTATGGAACTAAAATATTCATATTGTGAAGCTTGACTGATGATTATATTAATATAAAGTAGTGGATATGCATCTAAAAAAGTGAACTTGTTGAATTTCAACGAATAATCTACAACCATACGTTTCTTACGATTTGAGTTGCTTGTCACTAAAATTTTTGTTTTCCATGATGAATTTAGAATTACTGAGTTCGATGAGGTTTTCTTTCAATTGAAATTAAATAATACATTAAGTGAAGAGCAGCAAATTAAAATAGGGATATCTCAAAAAACAGTCTTTTGTCCCATACTTTTTTTGACTTACATTAATTCATTGTTGAAACTACTTTTGGAAGGAATAGTGGTATCTTACGCAGATCAGTAGTTGTATCAGGAGGCGACTGGGAAACAGTGAGTGAAAAATCAGTAAGGTGTTTCAAAATTATAAGAAATTGACTAAAAACCTACAAATTAACGATAAATATATTAAAAACTAACTATATAGCTTTCTCCCTCAATAATGTAAACCGACCATTATTTAATTCAATAATTGTTGATGATTAGACTATCAAGGAAACCGCTTCTACAAAATATTTGGGGATCATAATTGACAAGTTTGTTAAATGGCAATCTCAAATTGAATATCTATCTAACAGAATACGGAAACTTATACATAAATTTTACTTATTGAGAGAGTTTTTAGATAGAAAACATTTGATGATGGTGTATAAAGCCTTCATCGAATCCATTATCAGGTATGGTATTATTGTTTGGGGAAGACCGAGGGGTCAACCACTCTGTAAAAATTTGTACACGTATTGCGAAAATGTCGGTATTTCGCAAGTCAATTCAATTCAATTCAATTCAATTTATTGATCAGTACATACAGAAAAGTACAGGGCAGCCATAATGGCATTGATCACAAATCACACCTAATTCTACAACAATATGTTGTGTATATCAGTTAATAAAATAAAATAAAAAATTATCAGTAAAACTGTCAGTACATATCCAATACAGATAAGACCAAAAAGTTACAAGTATCCAAGACAAACCTGCAGGTACAATTCAAAAAAGACAAAGAAGCGACCAGGAAACATTCCAGGCAATCATTGAAGAGTAAGCAGCCTTGGCAGTATTTCGCGAAATTCAAAGGTCGATTCGAAGTATTTCGGTGGTGGTAATTCGGACCTTTTTTTTGTGGTATTGCCGAGTACTTCGAAGTATTTGAAGGTAATTCGAAGTATTTCGAGGTAATTTGAAGGTAATTCGCGGTAAGCCGAGGTACTTAAAAGTAGTTTTTTTTTATGTACCGACACAGGTACCGAGAACAATTAATTCTTTATCACTTAAAATTGGAATATTATAGAATAAAAATTATAGTCCATCTTCGAACAGGCTAAATATGTTGACATGTATTAGTAATCAATGTCAATTAGTTAATAGTACAGGGTCATCCAACAATGACTGAACAGAGAATTTTTTTTTTACTTTCCCTGTATTTTTGAGAAAATTCAAAATAGCCAATTGGAAATTTTTTCTCTGGACAACTCAAAAATGGTACCAAAAAATCCTTTGAACCAAAAACCAAAGAGTTACTTACGCCATGGATGAGCTGTTTTTTAAATGGAACACCCTGTTTTTCGTATGATTTTTGGAGAAGTCGCATTTTTTTACATCTATTCCGAGATCCATTCTGTTGAAAATACAGTGAAACTTCTCTAACTCGAACTTCCCGAACTCGAGATATTCTCTAAATCGAATTTTTCTCACGAATAGGTTTTCACAACCTCACTATATATTTTTTTCCCTATAAGTCGAATTTCTTATCTCTATAACTCGAATATTTCTAAAACTCGAACAAAAATTTAGTGGCAACCGTGGCAACAACTAAGGGTAACTCGAATTTTTTGGGGAAGTGCCTACTGCATTTAGTGCACTTGGGGAAATTACCAACTCTCAATGACCAGCGGCTACAGATAAACTTGTCTTGGGTTATATAATGTATATGTTACTACTTTTCTGTAATACATACATATTAGAAATTCAAATATCCTCAATTTTATGTACAGTCGTGAGCATAAAAAGTGGGACACCCGACTGACAGCTCTTGTCATTTTTCGCTATTTTGGGTAAATCAGTCTTTTCTCTACAATGGATTTTTTGTTAAATATGACAATCCCTGTCATTGCCGTAGGTATAGCTGATGCGCTCATTTTACAATAGGAAAAAACGGGTGTCCCACTTTTTTTGCTCACGACTGTATTTTTCCATAAATCGAATGTTCCGTAACTCGAACTCGACTTCCTGTCCCTTGAAGATTCGAGTTAGGGAAGTTTACTGTATTTGATATTCCGATAGCTGTTTTTATTTTATTTTATTATGTTATTCCTATTAGAGCAATCGGAATATCAAATATGCATGTTCAACAGAATAGACGTGAAAAATGAGACTTTTCCAAAAATCATACAAAAAAAACCCGGCGTTCTATTTAAGAAACAGTTCATCCATGGCGTAACTCTTTGGTTTTTGGTTCAAACGATTTTTTGGTACTATTTTTGAATTCTCAAGAAAAAAAAAATTCCAATGGGCTATTTTGGATTATCTAAAAAATACAGGGAAAGTCAAAAATTGCCCCGGTTCAGTGCTCGTTGGATGACCCTGTACCTAACAGCATTGTACCATTGTAGAACTAACAGTCACCTGCATCACTTACTATTGATTTAATTGCCTATCCTGTGTGTCCAAATAAAATCCATCATATCTAAAGACACAAAAATCTGAACAAAAATACTTCACTGCGATCTGCAAGAAGAATCGTTATCAATGATAAATTTTTTAGAAGTATTGCGGGACTTCGCGTGGTAATGCGAGGGTATTTCGCGTAATTCGACGATAATTCCATGGGATTTCGCGTACTTCGATGGGAATACCTGGTATTTCGAAGAACTTCAAGGTTTTCTAGGTACTTCGAAGTGATTCGGAGGTAATTCGGGCCAAGTGTACACGTATTTCGGGAAGTGATTGACCCCTCGGGGAGGACTATACAATAACAGTCTACACAAACTAAACATTATACAGAAATACATACTTAAAATTTAGGGACTGTAGTCCCTTGAATGGGATAAAATTCAGTGAAAGTTTCAGCTTTCTATCTATAATAGAAAAAAAGGTATGCCCTTCCAAAGTTGTCCAAAATCTAAATCATAAGGTAGCTACCTTCTTACTAAAACGATGAAATTTCAAAAATTTTTGTCGAGATTTTGTATCCTAATTGTCAATCAACATACCGCAAACTCCATACACTAAATTATTCTCAGATTTGAAGCCGAAATCTATGCAAAAAGGCACTCAGAAAAATTGAAAAATTGATAAATCACCCCAAATTGCTTAACACGATTT